CCGCGCCCTTTCGTGGCGCTTCGCATGACTGGTCTCCTCTCATCGCTCTTGGTGTGTTTGTGTGTAAGTGTATATCGTATTGTGTGGGAGTGCACTCGAACCGTCCACACTGTTCGCCCGGCGTGCACACGGTAACAGTTGGAGTGGTGGCGCGGGGGTGCTGCCTTTGCAGTTCCATTTACTTACTAAAAAATGACATCCGACTAACTCATCAGACCCCAGAGATTTTACATACCGATGCATGAAACAACAAAAACCTAGAGAAAAGGAACTAGATAGTTCCACTCTGGCGCGCACAAACAAATACATGGCGAATCCTTGCTTATATAAGACAAGCGTCTTCGAATCGACACTCCAGAAATGCGAGGCAACTGAGGCGTTCAAGAATGCCATGCGGCAACAAGTGGTAACTTTACTCCTTCAGCACAAACGCCGAACGACTATTTCCAAGGCAGAAGAACGAGAACTCGGGGGTTCCTACCCCTGAGATTGGGTTTGACCTGCTGATGACGTCTAACAAGCCAGAAATGGACATTCCGATCTCCCTTTGCTTTGTAGGATCCACTTTATCATATTTCTGAGGTCGCTAAGTGACAGCCTGATATCACTCAAGTACGAGCCTCAAGACACTTCCGGGACAAGTATATGCATATGTAGATGTAGATACCCTAATCAGATAGTTCAGATAAAGACCTCAGTTCCATAATCAGGTATTTATAGATGTGTGGAGTAGAACCAAAAAATACAAGGGAGGCTGGAAGGGCCACTTATGACTTAGTAACCGTAATCAGCTAGTCATACCCAATCCCACGGATGGATCACCTGCGACCCTTTGCTCATGAAGTGTAGCACTCTACCATTGAGCAACGGGCTGTTTGTTCGTGACAGTTGCGGTTGGGAATTTGATGAGAGTAGGGCCTTCACCCATCTGGTTGCGGAAACTTCAGGTCCTATTGTGCTTAAGAGCTCAATCTAGATCCTTCGCTGGCAATCGCATAGGGGACTTGAGATATACGTTTTGGTGGAACCGACAAAGAAAAATGTGCATCCGAATTTTCATTTCTGGTTTCTTCGCCCTCATCAGTCGGGTATACCCACTCCCAAATTTAAATCAACAGAGTTTCAAACCGGAGAACTTGGTCGTGGAATATAATACACTACAATTGCGCCACAGGTTCGTAGCTCTTTTTGGTTGCGATCGGAAATATGGCGGAAGTAGGGCACTCAGCGACCTGTTGAGGGAATATGCTCCACGCGTTGTACCTTTGGGTCAAATTTAAAGCCTTCACAGACAGTTGCCTAGTGGCTTGAATTACGCGATGGAGTTGAAGCGAATTTTGGGTCATCCAAACATGGCATTGGGTATGATTGGTGGATGACGGCCATAAGCCAGAAATGTCCATTCTCCTCTACCCTTGTCTATGTTAATTTCATTTCAAGGTATATCACAAGTCACTATGCGACTGCCTTTGAAGGCCCAGGTCGGGCTCCACATACCAGCAGGACCAGGATGTTCATTAATCAGATCGATGCGCGCTATACTGAAATACATATTAGATAAGTAAAATAATTTGCATTCCCGGATGATATAAGGAAAAGAAGGAAGGTCATTGGAAAAGCGAGGTTTACTCGTCAATTTTCAAGCAGGTAGTAGGGTCAACAAATAAACAAAACCAATGCCCTCCTTATTGGACACAGACATTAAAACTAGCACTGGGTAGATAGGAAACTTAATCATATAAATTAGCACCCAAGCTGGAAGGGATCTCTCAACACGGCATAACGATGGCGCTTTCCTGTGGCACAACGTGTATCAAATACTTCCTGTTCATATTCAATGCACTAGTTTTCGTAAGTTCCGCTTTATTCTAGTTTACACTTTTTAAATGCTTGTTCAACTTTACAATATGCAAGACAGATACTGCACTTCATTTGGCTGTGCATGAATCTTTCCTATCATAAATAAGACTTAAAAATAATCCAGCCATATGTTCACTGTGAGTGCCAGTGGGAAAAGGAGAAAATGGGAAAACTTAACGAGATCTAGCCTTTGCCTTCTGTGGAAGTTGCCTACTGGAGAAGAGAGCTCTGTCTTCCGAGATGGATGAATGATTTTATTTTTGAAATAACGCAATAGGTAATGTATTACATGTATGTACTCATTAACTTCCAATCCGGCATTACAAAATAAACCTATAGTGGTAGTCAGATAAGACAACTACTATCAAATTTACTATACTAACATCTACCTGTTGGCAATGTGTAAATGTTCAGACCTTACTGAAACGAATAAACTGCTTTAGCTAAACACAATTGACTAAGAATAGCCGTATAGTACGCTTCTTCATGGAGTATATTATGCGGGTGTCATACAAAATATGTATACACTAAAAGGTCATAATTTTGAGAATGGGAGTTAGCTATTTGATTTTCAAATAGCACAAATAGTTTCACTTACCATTTAAAATGTTTCTTAAATGAGTGACACCAAACAACCAGATGAATGTACCTAAATATGGTTGTCCAACTTTATTTTGCATTGTTAAGATGGACTATTCGCACTACTCGTTTAGTATTATTAGATGTCGCAGTGAACTATCAAGGGCATTTGGGCACCGCATTGAAAGAGGTAACGCAGAAACCGAAAAGAGTGTGTTTGCGTGGGAGAGTGTGATAAGCTTTATTTTGAAACTATCATTCCAAAATTTGCAGAAAAAAAAATGTCATCCGTTTTAGAAGAATAAAATTAGACGTAGAAACCCATCACAACGGGATATCAAAAGTAATCCATAGTCGCAAACGTCTGCAATTTTCGACATCATGGATAAGTGTACTAGGAAGAGTCGTCGAATCGAAAGGTGCATGTATGCTGCATTAAAAGTGTCCTTTTATGACAGCATTTGTCTTAAGCCTGATGCTAAACACTAACTTTCATTATAATTTGTCCAATGCTGATTAGCATAAAAAATAACCGAGAAAACCTACGTAAAAAATGAAACAGACTGTTAACGTTATAACAGCTCCTTCACATTAAAGCACAGTTCACAGTTCGAATAAGGACGATGCCATAGTTGGAGGCCGAAGAATTTCATTGGTAGAAAAAATTGCTTTCAGCCCTAAAAGTCTGTGTACACTATGGCAGGATTTATCTGATAAAGATTGAGGATAGTATTCAACCGCAGTATACACTACTTATGGAAATGCTCTTTGGGTCCAGCTTGTACAGTATTCGTGAAATTAAATTGAGATTTCTGCGTCATTACTCAATGTCCTGGGATATATGAATCCAATTTGCTGATTATATCTTCATTACAGCTCTTCGGTGCAGTTATAACTGGATTTGGAGTCTTCTTTGTTGCGGAGACAAAGAATGAACTTGGTGATCAAGCAATTGGCTTCCCGGTCTTCATCCTAACACTCGGCCTGCTTTTGTTCCTAATCGGGTTTTTGGGCTGTTTTGGAGCATGCAAAGAGCATACCTGCATGCTTAAAACCGTAATGTCTTATTTTCAAAAACGCTCACGTCTGTTCTTTAGTTTGCCGCAATTGTCAGTGTTTTGTTTATACTCCAAATCATTGCCGCTATACTGGTCTTCTTGTTAAGGAGCAACGTAAACACTCTCATACATTTTTAATATGGTAAAATAGTTTGTGGAGGTGGTGACCGTTGGAATTTCCGCTCAGATAAGGCAGTTAGACTTTCTTCCTCCAACCGAGCAAAGCCAAATGCGGAAGGCGTTAGATAAAGTGCAAAAAGAGGTATTTTGTTTCACCATAATGATATTTCTGATGTATAGCTGAAATGCTGCGGAGGCCATAATTCCGGCGACTGGGGTGCAGCTGTTCCCTCCTCCTGTTGCGCAGGTGAGCCACCGTTATGTCGCAATCCCTACCATCAGGTGAGTTTGGCAAGAAATTTCTCTTATTTTTTATCCTTCTGTAATAACCTGCTACCATAAATGAGCGCTCACATAAATAAAAATTTTTATTAGTAAATGCTTATCAACATATGTTTGGTGTAGATATCCTGAGTTGTTCAGGTACACAAGTAATACCAAAAATAAAATAGTGAAATATATCATTTTCCTGAGAAAGAGTTTCTAGTTATTTAATCAGAATACGTCGTTAGTTAGCACCATTGGCCGCTTACACATCATTAGCAATTTGAATAAAATGTTGAAAGTTCCGCAACTTACTGCCAGAACCCGTGAAGTGCAAAGTCAGAATGTTAAAACGTTCAATGCCTCGTTATGCTACTTTTTAACAGAGATTATTTTAGTCAAGGTTCAGCTTTGCTTTCCGTGAACCTCATGAGTTCATGAACTGAGGCGAATGTTTTTACCCCATGATTACATGATATAAATATCCTTTTTCCAATAGGGTTGCGCACAAGCTACTTACGATTTGATAAAGGACAAAACCTTAATCGTGGGAATTTTCCTCGTTGTCATGGCGACCCTCCAACTTGGAGCAATCATTTCGGCCTGCTGTCTGGCCACAAAGATCAAGGAGCAGATGAAGACAGATCATCATCTTCAAAACAATTGAAAGAACGGTCGAACCTATCCTAACAACTGCATATTTCTTGAATATCTATCTACACAACCGCCTGTCAATTGCAAATTCACGCCCCAATGTTTTGCTTTTCTTCTTGAGCATCGTCGCCATTCCTTTTAGCGGGTCCTCAGACATATTTGAAATTTTACCCAAAAATAAAGATTCCTGCCTACTACCGTCTCTTGAGCTTTTGTCCTTCTGATCTGCCTTTGCTTTGTCGGATCCATTTAATCGTGTCTTACTATTCGCTATGTGTCTGCCTGCAAGGGATGTAAGATGAGCTCCAGGGCAAAACCGGAAAGTACATTGTTCCACACCTAGTTCGGCAATCCCCACATATTCCATATTTTCCCGATCTCAATCGACAAAGCAACGAGCCCGTGGTGCAATGGTAGAGTGGTAACCTCAATAGCCAGAGTCCCGGGATCGAATCTCGGGGGTTCCGACCCTTGAGATTGAGTGTGACTGGCTGCTGACGGCAAAAAATATAAAAAGTGACCATTTCGGCCTCCCTTCGCTTCGACGGATCCATTTCATCGTATCCTACCAGACAATATCGGCAGCCTGCGTGGGCTCTATAGTTATCTCCGTAGAAAAAGCTGAATGTAACTTGTTCCACACCTAGATCGGCGATCTCACATATTCATATATATTTATATATGGTTAATAGAAGCGAAAATCCGAGTCCCCGGGCATAAATGAGAAGAAGAGGCGATCATGGGAAACATAGTTTTACCTTCCTGACCTTTCAAAAGCGTACAGGCTTCCGTCATCGGAGGTGGGGGTTTTACCGCGCCTCACAGTATTTATAGTAAGTAACAGTCATAGTCAATAGGGTTTAAGCCAATGCAAAGAAAGGGGGCGGAGGATAGGAGGGATGTTCAGTCATCGACGTCTTGAGGCGGATTAACCTCAGTCAAAGGGTCTCCCATCGGATTCTGCTGTTCGCGCCTGTGCAGCTTCCGTTGATCTAAGCTGCCGTCCTAAGCCGGTGATCCTGTTTGTGTTCGCACGTCCATCTGGTTTCCCACCTACAGAATGAGCGGATGCAGCGACTAAGCTGATGAGTGCTCCTTCCGATGTTGGTGCGGCTACGTGTGTGTCCACCATGGGCTCGCGAGGGCCCGGATTCACG